GGTTCAAACCTGCCAGCCTGGGTGTATATGGCTGGCACCCTAGTGCCTAAGCTACAGGCGTCGAGCCATTGTGGGTTTTTTTTTAATGTGACAGTTAAATGTAGATGGACTTCTGAAACAGAATGAGGATTGTGGGTTGAGGACACCCAGGGGAAAGATGACAAGGGCCCACATATAGAGTGGACAGGTACACTGTTACTGAGTTTGAAATGTCTTGTGCTCTTTTATGAATTGGCATCTGGCCAAAGCACAAGGCAGAGTACCTCAATCTCCTCTTTGTTGTGTTTAGGGTGTCAGCCTGACTGTGGCACGGGAACGTGGACAACTTGTGTTCCTTGAGGGTCTCAAATCCTCCATGGATGTCTTCTTCCAGGCTCACAAGGAACCACACCCCTTGCAATTTCTCAGGTCAGTCAGCCTGCAGCCCGGCCCAGAATTGCACACTTGGCAGGGAGGCTCAGGCAAGGTTGCTGTGTGATTCCTTCTCTTCATGTGTAGCAGGACAGAATTGGCTTTAGGAGTTAGCACTTCACGTGGTGCAGCATTACTGAAAACTCTTGGCTCTTACTGTGGGGCTGAGCGTGTATGTTTGTCCCAAAAGCTATAGAGGATCATTTTCTGGAAGGATAGCAGAACAATATGCTTTTCTGTTTCTTTTCTTTTTTTTGAGACAGAGTCTCACTTTCTTGCCCTCGGTAGAGGGCCATGGCATCACAGCTCGCAGCAACCTCCAGCTCCTGGGTTTAGGTGATTCTCCTGCCTCAGCCTCCAGAGCAGCTGGGACTATAGGCACCTGCCACAATACCCAGCTATTTTTTTGTTGCAGTTCGGCCGAGGCCGGGTTTGAACCCACCACCCTTGGTGTATGGGACTGGCACCCCATTCACTGAGCCACAGGCGCCGTCCACTTTGCTGTTTCTTAACCCTGGCTTGGAGCCCTAATAAACACCTTTGCTTTCTTCTTGGTTTGAGACTGGGGTCAGCAAACAACAGGCTGTGGGCTAGTCGCATGTTTTTGTAAATAAAGTTTTATTAGAATACAGCCACATTCATTTGTTTGTGTTTTGTCCCTGGCTGTCATTGCCCTACAGAAACTAGGCTGAGTGGTTGAGATAGAGATCATATGACCTGCAAGCCTGAAATATTTACTCTCTGGACCTTTGGGAAAAATGTTCTGTCCCTTTGGTTGGTATGCAACAGCAGAGGTCTGAGATCGGCTTTCTTGCTTTTTGTCCTTGCTGAACATCAGCCATAAACTTACCTCTGTGCAGCCTTCCCACTGGTTGCCATTCTTTCTCCACCACAAAGAAGTCTACACGGGGACTCGCCTCACTTTCTTCCTGTTTCAGACACACCTATATGCAGTGGCTGGGAGGCCATGTTCCCTCACCCTGTGTATGTGACTGTACACACATCCCTTAGCACCTCTAGATTTCTTTATCTGAATGAAGGGGCTGGTAACACCTTATCATCCCAAGGTGTGAGGAGTCCTTTTGCTAGTGAAGATAACCCTACTTTAGGATTCATGCCTGATGCATGAGGTAGTGGAGCAGTTGCTGTGGGCCCTGTGCTCTGTTTCTCTACCTACTGCTGGGAAATGACTGCTGGGGGTAGTCACTGGGGAAGATGGAGGTATGTCAGAAATGGGTTAAATCTGTTGTGCCTGCGAGCAGCCCTTATATCACTGCCCTTTATCACCTGAAGTGCAGTTAACCGTTTTTCTTTTTCTTTCTCTTTTTTTCCAGAGTGAGACATAGTCTCACTCTGTTGCCTAGTACAGTAGCATCATGAAAGCTCACAGCAGCGTCAAGCTCTTGGGTTCAAGGGATCCTCCAGCCTCCTGAATAGCTGGTACTACAAGCACCTGCCATAATGCCCAGCTAATTTTTTCTAAATTTAATAGAGATGGGGTCTTCTTCTTGCTCATGCTCTCAAACTCCTGACCTCAAGCAATCCTTTTGCCTCTGCCTCCCAGGGTAACAGGTGTGAGACACTGTGCCAGGCCTTGCTGTTTAACTTTTTATAGCCATGTATGAACTTCCTGGGAAGACTTCTCTTGCCTGTTCAATCCAGCTAATCTTCTAGATCCCTTAAGCTCTTGTGTTAGAGAGCCTCTGTGATTTCTCTTTTTTTTTTTAGACAGAGCCTCAAAGCTGTCCCCCTGGGTAGAGTGCTGTGGCATCACAGCTCACAGCAACCTCCAACTCCTGGGCTCAAGTGAGTCTCCTGCCTCTGCCTACCAAGTAGCAGGGGCCACAGGCGCCCGCTACAACGCCAGGCTATTTTTCGGTTGCAGCCATCATTGTTGTTTGATGGGCCTGGGCTGGATTCGAACCCACCACCTTAGGTGTATGTGCCTGGTGCCTTAGCCAGTTGAGCCACAGGCGCCAAGCCTCTATGATTTCTCTTAAGGGCCCTAGGGGTTGCTTATTTTTTTTGACCCTGAATATCTAACATAGTGCTTTGTACCTAATGGCCTCAGGGAATATTTGAATTGGAGTAAAACTTCTTGTTCCTATACTTTGCCTTCTCTTTCCATCTAGATTGTGAACCCCTCAATGCTAAGGACTATGATATATTTGCTTCTTTCCTTCCCCCAGCCCTTTTCTGTGGTGCTACTTGGTAGCTGAAAAAGTTTAGTAGAATATATTCTGATGACGTGTCCTGTCTCTCCAGGGAGGTCAATGCTGGGAACCTGCAGCCACTGTTTGAGTTTGTGAGGGAGGCCCTGAAGCCTGTGGATAATAGAGAGCCTGCGTGGAGGTGCCCAGTACTGCTGGTGGATGATCTCAGTTTGCTTCTGAGCCTGGGCGTGGGGGCAGTGGCTGTGCTGGACTTTGTTCACTATTGCAGAGCCACTGTGTGCTGCGAATTCAAGGTAATGATGGAACTACTTTCTGTCCTCCCACCTGTGACATGAAGAAGTTCAGACTGGTCCAGACCTTGCTTGCAATGATCTTTTTAGGTATTTGCATGGGACTTTGGCTTTACTCTCACAGGCTTAGAAATTTTGATCCATCCACCCTGTTCTCTCTTTGGTTGACATTGCTAAAAAATAAAGCCCTTAAAAATAAAGAGGCTTGGTGCCTGTGGCACAAGCAGCTAAGGGGCCAGCCACATATACCTGAGCTGGTGGGTTCGAATCCAGCCCGGCCCACCAAACAACGATGACAGCTGCAACCAAAAAATAGCTGGGCATTGTGGCGGGTGCCTATAGTCCCAGCTACTTGGGAGGCAGAGGCAGGAGACTCGCTTGAGCCCAGGAGTTGGAGGTTACTG